CCACCTCCAGGAAATTCCAATCCCTACTGTGGGGGAGAATGGATATTTTCTGGAACTGAACAATACAGAAAAAAACAAGTAGGAGTTTTGCTACTTTAAAAACTGTGATCAAAGAACACTGGGAAATGTGAAACTGACCCTGCAAACAATGCCTATGTGCTCTGTGATGCAAATTCTATTTGCAGTGTAAATGTCCACAGTGCTTTCAGGTTGATGACATAAATTTCATGAAGATACTGAGAAAATGCAGTTTTATTATATTTTGGCAATATAAAGTCCTGTCATGAGGATTTAAGAATACCATACTTTTGAAATAGACTGTACTAAAAACAGGCTTCAACTTATTTTCAAACTTTTATTTATGAAATGACAGATGATGTCTAAAGATGTTTGCACTAAAATCTTCCAACATATATATATTTATATTTCAAACTTTTACTCTGGTTAATAATGACTTATTTGTTATATTCACTTCAATTAAATTAGCATGCACGAATATGATGTGGCATGTGGATTGGATGTGCAATAAGGATGCACTTTCTTTCGACTACATGTGCCAGACTTGTCATAACTTGCATAACTTTGGGCAATAGTAATTCACACCTAAAAGCCATTATTTGAACAGAGATCGTAACAAAACATCCTTTCATCACTGCATAAATTATTATATTTGATAGGTTTGACTCAACTGGGAGAAAACGAACACAAAAACCACAGGTTTCAAAATATACTACTAGTGTGTCCAATGCCCAAATTTAAGAATGCAATCATAGTGTAACCATGGCAACCTGCAATGGCATCTGTTTGTATAAACTCCACCTGTTCTTCTGCCTTCTCAATGTCATCAGTTCAAAGTGAATGTCAATTGTTCTTGTCATGATAGCTGTCATGATCTCATATAATTTGCTGTTAATTTGTTTCAGGGCCGTCACAGGTGTATAGCTGTTTACCCTCGTTGTTCATCCAAAGGAGACAAGCAACAATACACACTGTACAACCGGTAACCATAAAACAGACTAAAACCGAGCAGTTACACATTTGAAAAGCATGGATTATTTTCTACACGTTATTTCCGACAAGCATTCAAGTGTAGACTCGAGAGGCACGCAACATTACGTTCCAATAAGTAGCTACAATTGATAATCACAAGATGTACAAAGTTGTTTTACGATTCATTAACTGATTATTGGAGTAATCTTTAGCATCGAAAGTAATCTAAATCGTCTTTTGAGCAGAAAGAGTTTTCATTTCATTTCCACAGCTATTGACATCAAAGGTCTCGAACGCTAGCGTCAGGTCATACACAAAACAAAAGAAACATTTTTAATTCAAGATGCCACAAAATTCAAGCAAATGCAACCAACCATAACCCAAAACCCGTGCATTTCGACTTCAAAATTCATAAATGCCGATATGCCTCAATATAAGAACAAAGTACATATTCCGAGAGAAAGTTTGCCACAACAATATTCCAATACTATATGTCAAGTGCAGGCAAATTAAACAGTTGCGATATTTATTTGATAAAGCCATATTCTAGCCGATACGACACCATGGTTGTACTTGCTTTCTCCAACATGGAAGGTTTCCAACATGAAAAGTTTCCAACTTTTTCACGTAACATTTCAACCCCCAAACCGTATTAACAATTGAAACGTTAAGTGGCTGTCACGAGCCGATAAACAACAAAACACCAGCACGCGTGCATGTTCACTGCATCACTGCTACTTCTTTTTCCAGCATCGCAATTATTTATAGCTTAATATACCTTCATGATCTGTTTCAAAACGTAGAGAGGGACTAACTGAGTGGGATAAACACAAGGTTAAAGTACTGCGACAATATCAATCACTCAAACAATCGGTTAAAATTAATTTTTGATTTACGATACCTACCAAGAGTCAGAGACATCCATTTCTTGTACAGCGCTCACCGACTTGACAACCAATTTCAGTTTATTCATCGTTCCCAGTAAGTTCTCCGCTGAGCTTTGGGTTATTTTTTCGAAATCTATTCCATTAACTTCAATTAACTGATCTCCAACCATGAGCCCCTGTTTGGCGGCAGATGAGTTCTCATCCACTTCAGAAATGCAAACCGCACTATCACTCTCACGACCCCCTCTTATTTTGAAGCCCAAAGATTCGTCTGGTGAAGTTCTTGTTAAGGTTATAACTCTAAAAGAACCAGCATTAATCGGTGAAGAGCTCCTTGCAAGAGTTCGCAGCTCACTGTTCTTGTAACTGTGAGGTAAACTTTGAGTCTTCCGATTCGTGGATACTTGACTTGGTGGTTTGAAAGGATGCGCCATTTCGCTGTACGGAGCCAAACTATCGAACTTGCTCAAATGCGCTGACGGAATGAGGTTACGAATGTCAGCAAGAAGGTCCAGCTTTCGAGGATTATCCAAGCACGATTTTAATGCAAGCATCAACTTTTCCACTGACTTATAAGTCTGGTATTCTTTGAGCGTATAATGTAAATAAGTACGATCATCGTCCGATAGTAAGCGATGCGCATTTCGTTGAAATTCCTTCAGTTGTTCTTTACGTAGTGAATCCCCAGTTTGCGTCATTTTAAACAATCAAACTAAACACTTCTTCGATTCAGTCTCACCTTCCTTGTTTTCTCACCGTATATCGAGTATTCGACGCAAACCTACACAACTTCCATAACAAAAGATAGACATGGCTACCATATGACGGACGCGCTCTTTCAGGACATCACCGACGTAATTTATGCAGTTCTTTGCATAATTTGCACACCTCTGTCGTCAAGAACAAACAAGAGGCATTGTTACAAAATCCACTTAGCCCAATGGTAACAACGGCAACTTAGAGACTTAAGACAAGGCAGTCACACAATATAAATATTTGCACGTCCAAATAGTTGCGATTTATTATCTTTGCACGGAAATTAACCACTTGCACAAAGTTGGTGGAAAACGAAATAACTTATGGTGCCAGCCTATGGGACCTTTGGCAGACAACGCTGACGAAGGGTTGGGGAAGGCCTGTCAGAAAATGTGTAGACAGTCACTGTGCCTGTGAGTATAAGTGGATATCATGTTATTAACAGCGCGATAATCGTGCGAATTATTTCGACAGTAGTTGCGTTGAGATGGGTGTAGAAGCCGTTGACTAATTTAAGGGGCAAGACAGTCAGCTTTAAAATGATAGCGTGCCAAGTTGGTGCCAGTTGAAATATCACTTGACGAACCACCTCTGAAGAATGGATATGTACAGCATCTTTATACAAGTTGTAGGTTAGGGTGTAGTGTAAATTAATAGTTTTGAATGCTTTGGACAATTGGTAGGGATTTTTAACTGATTTCAAGTGCTAATTTCCACTGCTTACTTTAAATTCCAATAAGCAGACAACTTAAGCTTGTGTGAGATTTGGGAAATGACTTGAGGTGACATACCAAAAAAACTTTTTCGGTTCATCCAGAGAGGGTCCTGAAAGGGATGGGGTCCAAATCCTGTTTTCACATCTCCCATAAAAGGGCTCACCGGCATTTCTAGATGGGTGTGGTCCATACTTAACATACACGATGTCTGAAAAGTAAGGCTAAATTCTAAAGAAAAAGTACACACTCTGCTATAGATCCCTGACTCAATATACTACAACTTATTTTCCAAGTAAGAACTTGCTTCAAAATTGTAGGCTACAGGTTCTTAAATGTCTCTGTTATCTCTGTTATCCTGGAGCGAAAGGGAGAACTTTGCCTATCAACACTTCATGTTCAATAAGGCCTTTGAAAGTCACGTGACTAAAGCGTTTTGCTCTCTAGGATAGGGTATATAAATCAGAGCGTTTGGGTCTAGAATAGGGTATCATTTTTCCCAAAACTGACTAGTTGGTTGAAGATTTTATCTAGAC